AAAAAAAAAAAAAAAAAAAAAAAAAAAGACACATATTGCAAGGGGCAAGGGTCTTGCAGGCTCTGATCAGACACTTGAATAATTAATTTAAACATTCTTTTGCTGCTAAGCCACCCCTTTTCAGATTTTGTTCCTCTTTTTTGTATGCTGCTGGCTTTCAACAGTTATATTGAAAAGAACAAACACACAAATGTAGAGCCACAAACCTTTTGATGAAAAAAAAATTTGCTCAGTCCTACTAGATGTTTTAGTACAATACCACAAATTTATAGGGATCATTTTTATCTTCAAAATGAACTTTAAAGTCTATAACATAGTTTTACACCTGGATGGTACTTAATTTGAACATCAATAAAACAGGCGAATGTAAACAAAGTCATATAATAGACTTCGTTATTTTCCCAATTTCCATGGAAAAAATAAAATGAAATTTCATAGCAAAATAATAGGATTATTATACATTGCTTTCTGCAATGTATTTACTCAGATTATCCAATATAGGCTTCAAAAACTCTCCAAACTATATTAGCACAAGCCTTCCTTTTCAATGATCTAAGAAAAACTACTAGTTAACTATCTTGTGTTTATTTTTCCTTTCCCCTTCCTTCCTTCTTTTCCCTTTTCCTTCACCCTAGCTCCTCCTTCCTTTGGAACAATTTCTTCCCATGTCACAATGTCTTTTGTACATTGTGGTCCTGATTTTCCCTTTCAGTTTCTCACACCATGGAGACAATAACATATTACAGAAGTGAGTCTGACTAATTTCACTTAGAAGCACAATTTGTAGGAGCCAAATATTGGAAACAATCCAAATGCCCATCAATTAGGGAACGAAATAGAAATATGTGGTTTTTTAAAAATACTATGTAGTCTACTCAGCCATAAAGAAGTATAAACTTAAGACGATTATAGATAAATGGATGCAACTTGAGATTACTCTGCTAAGTGTCTCCCCAATTTCTTGTGTGCTACGTTCCTTTCTCAGTGCTTAAATGTCTCTTTCTTGTAAAAACAGGAAATAGTAGGCTTTATTTACTCGATTTGTTTTAATGTATTTAGGATGGGGTCTACAGAATCTACAGGGGCTCACTATGTACATTGGACTTGTAAAACAGGAAATAGTAGGCTTTATTTACTCGATTTGTTTTAATGTATTTAGGATGGGGTCTACAGAATCTACAGGGGCTCACTATGTACATTGGACTTGTAGGAATTCTCCTGTTTTCAGCCTCCCCAGTACTGAGATTACAGGTATGCCCCACCAAGCCCAGTCTCCTCTCAGTGCCCTCTGGGGGCAGGGCCAGTGTGGCAGGCTAGGGATTGAATCCCAGCTGCTGAGGAACTAATAGGCTTTAAAGCAAGAAGGATACCCATGATGCCCTTTGGCCAGGCAGAACCTTCAATAGCTCAAACATGGATTTCCTATTTGAGATGTGGCTCCAGAACTCACCAGAGCTGTGAGAACAAGTGTGCAGAAATCGCCAGAGCCCGATGCTTTCTCTAGTGTGATGCTTTCATTGCCTCTGATATATTTTGTGTTTACTTTATGCTGGTCTTTTTCTAAGACCGCTCATGGGAATACTTTGCAGAGGCACGAAGGCAGAGAATGTCTTTTACATGGCTCTCTAACATATCTACTAATAGAGCTTCTCCCAAAACCTTAACCTTTGATTTCATTTATTTGTTCTCTGTTCTCCATGATATGTGGAAACGTAACACAATAATTCTTCCACTTCAGGAAAAGTCTATTCTTTTGCTTTGGAGAGGGCTGACTTCAAATATTCTTTTCCAAACCATTACTGGCCTTCCTTGAGTAAGAAAACTCCTCACACAGTTTCCAGTTTTATTTTGATTCTATTTCTCAGATCTATTATGATTAGAGTCATATTATGAAAAATTGTCTTATAGATCAGTGCTGTTTTACAAATCGCTCTGGGGACACCATATGTTGAGCATTAAAGAATGACAAAAAAAGTACAGTGAAAAAACTTGGTAATCCCTCAAATGGAACTTTCTGGGCAACTTACCTTCAGTTAATTTGACTTTTACAGTGATATTCCTATTGCTCTGTGTTGAAAACTCATTTTATCAGGTCACTGCTGTCAGCCTTCTCTGTGGACTTTCATTTTGATTAAAAGAAAGATCTCCAATAGTCAGGCTTCAATAAAATTTTGTGTGACCTGATCAGAGCTGATACCACCATAACAAAGAGCAGCTTCTCAGCATCTTTACCATAGGCAGGAAAAAGATGCCTTATGAAATAAAAATTATAATGAATACTGGTATGGTCCAATTGACTTGCTATCTCTTGGAGATTATTATTTTTCTTTTGGTGTTTTAAGGAGGAATCTACAGGGTCTTCAGGGTCTTACTACTAGATTGGACTCCTAGTGATCCATCTGTTTACAGCCTCCCAAGAGCTGGGATTGCAGGCATGCGTCATCACACCTAGCCTCCCTTACTGTCTCCATGTGCCCTGGGGGTGAGACCAGCATGGCAGGCCCAGGGATTGAACCCCTGGTCCCTGTGCCTACTTACAGGCACTTTAATCCGCTGAGCTATTTGACCAGCCCCTCTTGGAGATTCTTGGTTAAAGTAAAACAAGGGACCTAGAGGAAGTGGAAATCCTAGAAACTTGTCCATTGTTATCTCTTAGTTTCCATCCTAGGCTGCAAATGTCCACATCCTCCTAATTCTGAAGATAACACGTTTGATAGTAAATATTGTCCTGAGCAATGCTTCTTTGTGGGAAGTGAGAAGTTTTCCATGGCATAATGATAGATACTACCACCTCCAAAATAAATAAATATATTAGAATGTGCCCCCAAAGTTTGCATCCCTCTTTGGGCAAATCTTACTCCTTGAAACCAGGGCCTAAAATAAGGAACAATTTTGTCTTACAAGAAAATCTGGTGAAAGTCAAGACAGTGATTGTTAGTTCCAGTTTCTAGCTCTAGATTGTTAGTTAAAGTACCAGCAGTTAACAATTAAAAATTCATAGAACAGCTGCAGTCTTTTTTTTTTTTTTTTTTTTGTGGAACCAGAGATTGAACGCAGGCCCTTGCACTTGCCAGGGAAGCGCTTATTCTACTGAGACATCTCCTCAGCCCCTTTAGCTGCACTCTTAAAGCAGTCTATAAATGGAATTTGTGGATTTGGAGAAACAAAATCTATAAAGTTTACATGAACATGGGCAGTGGCATAAACCAAGGGATCTCACCATTTACTTTCTAACTATTTATACCTATTCATCTGGACCTTATCTTTTATTAGTACATGTTTGTGACACATTGTGAATACATTCACCTAGAGAACTTGGTATACACACACATCACATCTTTATCCTTTGGACTTATACTACAATAATTTTTATACTCTCTGATGTTTACTACTGAATCTGGTACTTGCCATCTCAGATGCTTTAATTTCATTAAGGTTAAGAATAGCTGACAAGTTAAATGAGGCCTGTAGCTGTAGATTTGGGGAAGAATATGGATTTAGACTTCCAATGCAATGAATTATATTTCCAGATTTCATATAAAGTCTGCTGCTCAATAGATGGTCGAGTGATTTTTTCAGGGACTCTGACTAACCCCTAGAGGTATACTTATTGTACTTTGGAGTAAGCCATGCCTTACTAACAAGTAACCTCTTTTCATAAGTGGCATAGATCTCACCTTCGCATCCATCTCTTTTCCATCTTTTTGAACTCTTTTATTCTCATGTGCTGTTGTTAGAGTTCAGCTTGCATAGCTATTGTACAGGTAACTTTGAAGCAGCCAATCCTTTTCATTCCAGATGCCTCAGGCACTGAAAAGGTGACCTACAGGCCTCGTTCAGGAAGAAGCCATCGGAGACTCAGTGTAACCCAAAGCAACCCTCAAAGGAGACTTCATCCTTGTCATCTTAACTTGAAGGACCATGTGCAAAGAAGCAGCTGTACATTTAACAGCCTATGAGCAGGGACTCTTTGACCAAATGACACTGATTTGCGACTAGGTGATCAGAGGAATGAAGAATCACACCAGGGCACCAAATCTATAGAGCTCCTGAGATTCATGTTCTCTAGGCCCATGTATTAATTTGTAGACTGCCATCTCATTTAATTTTGAAAACTGAAGAACTAAAATGTATTGTGTGAATATATATGCACATATACACACATATTCCTAGTACATTAAAAGGCTCATAAGATAGCGACACATTTATTTCCAAGATTTTTTCTTCATGCATATTTAACTTTGCTTTTTTCACCATAACGCAAACACTGACCACCTTGTAACAGAAAGTTTGATGATTTTCACTCACCTGTTATAGATCTGGTGGTAGCACTTTCATACAGAGGAGCTCCTTCTCCTGCGTTGTTAAAAGCTTTTAGGGAGATTACATAATGGGAACTTGATTCTGGAGAAAAAACAAAAACAATTTGAACATGTTTCTATTTAGTGTACCAAGATACTCAGGGTAAACATTTCATCGAAAACAAATTTAATATAAGCTATTAAGTAAATTGTTTGAAAATAAGTGCATTGAATTCTGGGAGGAACGTGGCAGCAATGACAATAGAATTATTTTTTAGTTTTCTAAATCCCATGTTAAAAGCAACTGAATGACAAAATAGAAACCAAAAGCATTTAGATACTACAAAACTTGGTGAATGAGAACCCCAAATGTAATTGGGTGTGCACAATCAACGAACAGCTTTACCACTTGCGTGTTAACCACATCTGTGTAGGAAAAGTTAAAGGCAAGCATCAAAGCTGAGAACAGCAATTAGGGAACACTGTCCTCCAGATAACCTGGAAGATGAATTTTAGATGCACAAAATGACAGGAGGAGACACTTACCTATTAGATAACTGATTAACAATAACTTTGAAGTAAGACAAAATATAAGGTAGGATTAAAAGATTTTATTTTATAATGACAACTCGTTCTGATATAGATATACTACAACAGTAATAAAAGACTAAGAAAGATTGGGGCCAGTCTAATAAAAAATAATTCTTTGATAATTTGTTATTGTACTTGTGGGACTAATGTAATATGGGACAAAACAAAGAAGTAAACATGAGAAATTCTAATCCTATCATCTGCTCTGTCCTTGAGAACTAGATTTTGGTGTGATAAAAGGACATACAGATGCATATGGAAGAGAGTAAGTAAAGTCTAGTGCTCTTAAAATTTAAATTGAAAAGGTACTTTATCTATGGTCTGGCTCTATTCACTGAAGAAGTCCAGAAACTTTCTCAGTAGAAACAACTATCTCTATTAAGCAGACTGTAGTATGGAAAACAAATATTTCTAATATATAAGAAACAAGGTATTCTTTTTTCCCCCATAATTTTATTGAGAAACAAATAGCAATGAGACAGTTTCAATTCAAATTGATAGAACAGTTCCAATAATTAACACATTGCATACACTCTTCCTAGTGGTTATTTGCTGTACAAGATGCAGACATGATATCCTATTTACAAAC